AATTCAGGGGCATCCTTGACCCAAACCAACATATGAATGTGAAGACTCCCTCTAGCCTGAAACTCTACCCTGTAAAAATAGTCCTCCACCTCACCGATTGGCTGAGCTGGCGACAGAATCAGGTGATTCATCAGCGCGTCAACTCTTTTTTCAAACAGTCTTATGACTGTGACTGGATTGCTCCTCAGGATGTCACACTTGGCATTCCAGTCTAGCTGAGAGAAGTCGACCTTCTTGCCCTGTTGAGCCTTGATCGCCTCGATGACCTCAGGCCACCTCATCTCAGCAGCAGAGAAAGTCAGGAAAAAGGTTGGTTTGCCTAATTGCCGCACCATGGCATGGAGATCTTTAAGAGCTTTCTCTCAATTAGCCGGTGTTCCTCTCAGTGGTCTCATCAACCTGGTAGTATCTCTATTGCTAATGAGCTTTTCCACCTCTACCTTATCTTGGAGCATCCTGCATGAAATGACGCGTCCCTCTTTAGTTACCAGCTTGCTTTTGTGCAGCTGAATCGACATGCTATTATTAGCAATATGTGTTTCTGTCGCAAACTGAGCAAAGAACAAATAGCTCTGATTTACAGCGAAACGAGTGTCTGCAGAAAAGAGGCGAACATTGAAATACCTGCTAGGGGAGAGTTTCACGGCTCTGGGTTCACAGAGTGTATTCTTCCCTGCAGGAAACTGAACAGGGAAGGCTTTAGCTTCTAACTTTGGGGTGGTAAAAATGCCAACAGGTTTGTTTCCCTGAGCAGGTGCTATGCTAAAAATACCCTGACCGTATGACAGAATTTCTTGAGCGATATTAGGAGGCTGCATGCAAGTGTCGAGGGCCAAACCTGGACGAAGCTCCTCCTCCTCTGGCTGCTTCTCAGCATTTCCACCTTCAACAGGGCCTTCCTCAATGTTGGGGTCTGCAGCTGCTTCTAACAAATCTGCATCGGAGATTTCCTCCGTTTCTAAATCACTGGGCTCCTCATCAAAAAGATAATCATAATTAACCTCACGGTCAATGGAAATGTCCCTATACTCTGGAATAATCTCTTTAAGAGTGGCTAAAGCGCCTAACACGTTCTTCATGTTTACAGTGAAGAAGTGCTGATGGCCCTTGTACCTAATGTTACGCTTTAGCTTAACCTGCAGCAGCTGGGCCTCTTCTCTGGCTCGTGGGAGGCAGTTAACTGTGGTTTCCATCTCAGAAGGAACACACACCACAGCCCCATGTACCGCTCTCTGCCGACCTTTAGGTGAAGCTACTATTTTAGCAAATGGCTGTAAGTTGTCTCTCAAGCACATTTAATTCAGCTGACACGGTACATGGGTCTGAACAGCGCCGGCCACATATTTTCCTGATAAACAAGCAGCAACGATGTGAACATTCTGGATGTACTTCTTAACGGATCTTCTGCAACGCAACACCTGATTTGGAAAGTGTCCTGTGACACACTGTACAAATCAAGGTGGGTCTTTCCCAAACCTGTTCAAGGAACGCTGAAATTGCTGCTTCTATAACTTCACTTACCTGAGGCTGTTGAACTTGAGCTTCCTGCACCGCGTGGCTCAGCTGAGGCTCCTGCGCAGCACCACTGAGCTCTGGCTGCTGCACACTGAGCTCCGGCTGGGCCTCAGGTCCACCAACCTGCACCTGAACAACACTAACAGCAGGCTGTGTATTTCTCATTACTGCCTAAACGTCACTGGGCTCTGGTTCAGGCAGTACACTCAGGTAACAGGGTCTGGAGATGTGCCGGTATCTACTCCGGATCCTCAGTACACACTGCAACTTGTGTTGTGTGTGGAATAATGGATCTAAATGCAAGCGGCCCCTCTTCTGTTGTGTGCAGCGCTCTATGTGTTGCTGTCTAAAGTTGGGGTCAGTGTGATACATAGTGTATATGTTTTGTAGTTTCCTTTTTCTGTAAATGTCATTACACTTATACAGATTGGTACTATAAACTAAATTAATTCTGTATGAGGCATTTTCTAAATATCTTAGTACCTTTTACATTAAAAGCTGGATTTGTGTTGTATCTATGTATTATGTACTGTTTCTGTCTGTCCTTATAACCCTTGTCTGTGTTGTATGTATCGACTATGTACTGTTTTTGTCTACGCTGATATGAAAGATCAGTTTTGTATTTTAACACGCGATACTGTTTCTTTTGTTTCTTAATAACAGCATCACTTTGGTATGTCCTAACTTTGTATGCTCTAACTTCATCCTGTGTGCTGTCATAATGACGTTTGGATAATGTAAGTCTTTTCTGTCAGTAAAATGCATCAGTTCTATATCTATGTCTATGTGTCTGCAGTTTTCTGGCCCTATTGCCTGTACTGCTGGCATACTGCTGCTTTTCACGAAGGTTTTTTGTCCTTTGTAACTCAGCAGACACCGTTTCAGGTACCGATTCGTTTCTAATGCGACGATCTGCTTTGCGACTACGTTCTTTACTTACCTTAGTCAAACTCGGTGTCTTCAAAGTGTGACCTATGTGTGCTGTGTGACAGACGGTGCTAGTGTGTGCGTGCTCAGCAGAGACCTGTTTAGCAGTGTTCTCAGCGGGCTGCGCAGGAACATCAACGTTCTGAGGAGGAACACTAGCCAAGGCTGTCGGTGGCTCATTGCTATTATTTGTGACTGGCTCAAATGAAACAGGCACAAATTCATACTGGGTCGTAGCACCACGGTCTCTAAACAGCGTGTCCAGGTGCTGGACCAGCTGACCCAGGTTACTGAAAGTCAGCATCACTGCAGTTCCACCATAGAGAGGCAAACCTAAGGAGTTTCTTGAGTGTGAGTCAAAGAAACCGTACCTCCCTCTTCCATCACGGAAGACGGCAAAACACTCAGGGGCAACCATGAGTAAGGCACAGCTGACTTCTTCAGCCAGACACTCAAGACGTGTGGCAAGGGGTAACCACCACTGCTGTCTGTGAGGGCTGGCCTCTTCATCCCTCAGAAACCCAACGCCGATGTTTCCCTTCTGAATGTTGTACGTGTGTCTGTCTGTGTGTATCTGAGGTGGAATCTCTTCTACGGCGAGGTTGTCAGATACGAACCGTCCCTCTTGAATGAGCTTCAACTTGGCCCATATATAAAACGAATCCCCTTGTTCCAGTACCTTATCCAGCTCTGCTGTGCTAAAATGGACTCCCTCAGCGTGGTATGCCAGGAATGTGAGGGAGTTGCAGGTGACATGTTGATTCCTGGAGAAGCGCTCATACCTGCTGACAGCCTGAGACATTATATACACAAAAAAACACTCACTCTTTATAAAACAGATCCTAACTTAACTTTTCACTGTAAAATTATAATCTATATGCACATTTTCTAGGTAATTTTAAACATTTTATTCTAACTGACCAAATAAATTCATTACCGTAACACAATTTTCATGAAGAAATTTGAAACCACAAAACTGTTTTTTTCACATTTTTTGGACACCAAGGACTTCAGTGTGCACAGAGAGACAGAAATAAGCAAAAATAGGCATTTTTTTACAAAATGTTATATTTTAATGCATAAAATCATTTCATCACCGTAACAGTGATACAAATTTCAAAGTCAATTTTGATTGTGATTTTTTATCAAATCATTACATTCAACAAACAATATAACCATAACATAAAAGGGTCTGGCACATTTCATCAAGGGATGAATATAAAAGTAATTCACATAACCAATCTAAATAAATCCTCATATAGTTATCATAGCGGTAATGAAAAAACACGTCGGTAATGAATAACAATGTTTCGGTAGTGAACCCTTCATAACTACATTAATATTTAACTACCCAAACAATAAAATACCCTAATAAAACATACATTTTTAAAATGTTAAGTTTATTAAGTTGACACACAAACTGAACAGAAAAAT